TCTCGCGGTGAGTAATATTTATCGAGTGAGGTGGTTGCACGTGGGAGTTGTCACGCTGTGGTGTTGAGATCCGAGGGAGTTGGCTCCTCGTGGGAGTTGTCTCGCAACGGGTTGTAGGATTGAGCGAGTGGACTCCTCGTGGGAGTTATCTCGGTGTAGTTTTGAGACTAGAGGGGGTTAGCTCCTCGTGGGAGTTGTCCCAACGGGTTATAGGACGGAGCGAATGGTCTCCTCGTGGGAGTTATCTCGCTGTGGTTTTGAGACCCGAGGGGGTTGGCTCCTCGTGGGAGTTTCCTTGTAAGAGGTTGTAGGACCGAGCGAGTTGTCTCCTCGTGGGAGTTGTCTCGCTGCGGGTTGTATTACTGCACGAGTTGGCTCCTCGTGGGAGTTGTCTCGCAGGGGAGTTGTAAAAGCATCGGATGGCGCGCGACTGAGGAGCGCGCGGACTGAGGTCGCTCTGAGCGAATTGTCTCCTCGTGGGAGTTATCTCGAAACGGGTTATAGGATGGAGCGAGTGGTCTCCTCGTAGGAGTTATCTCGCTGTGGGTTCGTAGGACCGAGCGAGTTGGCTCCTCATGGGAGTTTCCTTGCTGTGGGTCGTAGGATGGAGCGAGTGGTCTCCTCGTAGGAGTTATCTCGCTGTTCGTAGGACCGAGCGAGTTGGCTCCTCGTGGGAGTTTCCTCGCTGCGGGTCGTAGGATGGAGCGAGTGGTCTCCTCGTAGGAGTTATCTCGCTGTGGGTTCGTGGACCCGAGAGAGTTGACTCCTCGTGGGAGTTGCCTCACAACGGGTGAAAGGATGGAGCGAGTGGTCTCCTCGTGGGAGTTATCTCGCTGTGGGTTCGTGGAACCGAGCGAGTTGGCTCCTCGTGGGAGTTTCCTCGCTACGGGTCGTAGGGTGGAGCGAGTGGTCTCCTCGTAGGAGTTATCTCGCTATGGGTTCGTGGACCCGAGGGAGTTGGCTCCCCGTGGGAGTTATCTCACAACGGGTTATAAGACGGAGCGAGTGGTCTCCTCGTGGGAGTTATCTCGCTATGGTTTCGTAGATCCGAGGGAGTTGGCTCCTCGTGGGAGTTATCTCGCAACGGGTGGTAGTACTGAGCGAGTTGGCTCCTCTTGGAAGTTGTCTCGCAAGCCCCCCACTCTCGAGACGATGTGGGAGCCAAGTTGAAAGGGGTACCGGATCGTATTGAGAGTAGATCGGTGTTGTAGTCTTGCGTTAATCGTTGGCATGGCGTGGAGAAATAATTTTTTTTTTTTTTTTTTTTTTCCATTTGATAGCGAACGCCATTTGGTAGGTGCGTTAAAGAGCTCGCGGAATGTGGTGGAGCGCGTTGAAATTCTCGTGCGATTTTGAGAAGCGAGTCAAAATCTACGCGCAATTTGGTAGAGAGTAGACAAAGTTGCGCGCGATCTGATAGGAGCGCGCAGTCCAAGGGTGTCTTGGAAAGCGCGCGCACGTGCTCACGCGCGCTCCAAGAATTTTTTTTTTTTTTTTTTTTTTTTTTTTTCTCCCGGCGGACGCGCGCGCGCGTCAGCGCGTGTACTCCACGCGCGCGTGCGGGGCACGCGCGCCCCCACCTTTTTTTTTTTTTTTTTTTTTTTTTTTTCCCGGGCGCGCGTGCTGGGCACGCGCGCGCGTCCAACGGGTGTTACCCCCGCGCGCGGGTTGTGCACCCCCCCCTCCAGCTTTTTTTTTTTTTTTTTTTGCTGACGCCAGCGCGCGTCAGCGCGCGCGTGCACTGCACGCGCGCCTCCCTTTTTTTTTCTTGTATTTTTCCTTCTTTCTTCTTCTCTTTTTTCATCTTCTTCTTTTTTCTTCTATTTTTTCATCTTCTTTTTTCTTCTTCTTTCTTCTTTTCTTATTTCTTTGTATTCTTTTTTCTTCTTCTTTCTTCTTCTCTTTTTTCATTCTCTTTTTCTTTTCTTCTATTTGCTTTTATTTGGTTGATATTCACCCCCTTGGGGATGTTTTATTTTTTGAATAGGGATATTACCCTCGTTCCTTGAGATGGAATGTGCACCCCCTTGGGGATGTTCTATTTTTTTAGTAGGGAGATTATCCTCGTTCCTTGAGATCGGATGTGCGCCCCCTTGGGGATGTTCTATTTTTTGAGTAGGGAGATTATCCTCGTTCCTTGAGATGGGATGTGCACCCCCTTGGGGATGTTCTATTTTTTGAGTAGGGAGATTATCCTCGTTCCTTGAGATCGGATGTGCACCCCCTTGGGGATGTTCTATTTTTTGAGTAGGGATATTATCCTCGTTCCTTGAGATGGGATGTGCACCCCCTTGGGGATGTTCTATTTTTTGAGTATGGAGATTATCCTCGTTCCTTGAGATCGGATGTGCACCCCCTTGGGGATGTTCTATTTTTTGAGTAGTGAGTTTATACTCGTCTCTTGAGATGTGATGTGAACCCACTTAGGGCTGAAAGGTAAGGGTGATGCCCAACCTTAGGATGGGGATAACTGCCCACTGTAGGATGAGGCGTTCGAGACCTATGGTCTGAGGTGGATGCGCATGGTTGTGCCATTGGTTCGCGCGTGCGCGTCATACCATTTTTTCTGTTTTTGAACTAGGGACGTGAAACACTTGATGGGATGTGAAACCCCTTGGGGTTGAAAGGTAAGTGGATGTACCACCCTTGAGATGTGATGCCCAACTTTAGGATGGGATAGCCCCCCATTTAGGATGAGGCGATCACGAACCACTGGGGTGAGATGCCCCACCTTGGCGATATATGGTGCCACTGATTCAGTGGCAGCACGACTTGAATCTTCCGTGATCATACGCTGAAGGTCTTCTTCGGTTATCTGAACCGTTCGAGAATTAAGTAGAAATTGATCATGTTGAGGACCCAGTGGGGCCTCACGAGGAGGAGCGTTGGCTCCTGCTATGACGAATGAAATGTTTTGGGGGCGATGTGACCCCAGGGAGTCGATAACCCTTGGCGAACGAAATATTTTGGGGGCAGATGTAAGCCCCCAGGGAGTCGATAACCCTTGGCGAACGAAATATTTTGGGGGCGATGTAAGCCCCCAGGGAGTTGATAACCCTTGGCGAGCGAAATATTTTGGGGGCAGATGTAAGCTCTCCAGGGAGTCGATAACCTCTTGGCGAGCGAAATATTTTGGGGGCAGATGTAA